GAAATTTTAGAAAGCACAGGCCTGTGTTCATGAATGCATGTCTAGCACTTGATTATTCAATGCTTGACTTCAAACTGAGTGGAGTCTAGCAGCATTGAAAGAGCATTGCTTTCAAGATGATGTGAAAGTTCTCTCTGTGGTGTTTGATTTGGAATGGTTCATTCACCCCTTGCTTAACTTGTGACTTCAGTCATACAATGACAAACATGAGTGCATGAACCAGTTGACAAACATCTCTTTGTAGTTCAGCAGAGGCCAAAATGGGATGTTGGAATTAATCAAGGCTTGATTTAATTCAAACCTGGAAACTTCTCATTGATGGCCTACCAGTCATGAATGTGGGCCATGGGGTTCTCTGCTATGTACCAGGCTCTATGTTTGAATGGTTCTACCTAAGTTGACCATAGATTAGGTGGTAAAAATGCTCCTGGACTGGATTGTTCCTTTTTTCAAGCTGGGGAGTACACCATTGAATATGATCCTACATCAAAAACTCCCTACATAGTAAAGTAGATGTCAAATTTAGACACGTAGGGCCTCTACAGACGGGCAGCTGTGGGCCGCCCTTGGAAACTGTGGATTGGGGCCGAGGCTGCCCCACTCCTCAGCCCCAATCCACTCTGTGAGTGGCCCTGGAAGGAGCGCTAAAATAGTGCTCCTTCCTCAAGCCACAGAAAGGGCGCTGGAAGAGGCAGCATTTGCCTCTTCCATGCCTCTTCTGTCGCAGCATTTCTGGATGCTCCGATGACATCCTTAGGAAGGGGTTGGGGTGCCCAGTGTCCGTCTGCCTCTCCCCTTCCTGGGCTTGAAGACGGCACTTTGCGCTGTCTGCAAAGCCAGGTAGTCTTCCTATCTCCAGAGTCCTCCCATGTATGTCGCACTGAAAGGAGCAGATTTTAGTTTCTCAATTTATCTTACAGGAAAGACTGAAATTCTGTTTTCTGTGAATATCAGCGCAAATGAAATCCAGTCACACAAACAACCATGAAAAAATTTAGGGATCAAAACAGAATGAAAGTGAAGACATTTCAACATTAACTGATATTTGTAGAAAATCTTTTTCTTTTCTTTTCTTTTCTGGGATGGGTGTGTTTGTGCATCTTTCTCTGTTATGAAATGTGTAAACATTTACTATGGAAGAGCAAGGTCACCTTGCTCCTAACTGAAACACTGAGGCACTCAAATATTCCAACGTATGGCATTAAAGTAAATATAAAAACAAGGCAAATGTTTGTCTTTTGTGTGTGTCAACAGCTGTGTGTGTTCTATTGAAATCTTTCTAAAGGGGTAGTTACCCTATAAATGTGCATAACAACTTGTGACAAATTGGTTAAGTAAAGAATCAGAATGAAGAATCAGAATTATGTATTGTTGATTAGTGTTTTGTGATTGCAATGGAACGGAGATAATAAAGAGATCTCCTCAGCAAGATCCAGTTAAATAAAGTAACAGTGCTATCCAGACTCTGTATTAAAGAAGAATGAGTGTTAAATTTAAAACAACATCATGCATGTACTCACATACACATACACACCCACACTCATTTTCTTTCCCTGTACACAATGGATGATTACAGAGCTACTTTTAAAGTGCATTCTACATCCAGAGGAGGCCTTTATTGTTTCAAGGAATTTAATTAAGTAGCAGAAGTGGGTGGGTGGAGAGGTAATTGTTAAGAATCTCTCAAAATATGAAACATTCTTGGTAAGCCAGAAAGACATTGTTTGGCTGGGGTCTCTAAGTCATGCACAGGCTGCCTGTGGCCTGCATGCCACAAGAGGCTAGTGGAGAACTTCTATCTAGCCCATACAGGTGCCCAAGCTTCTGTTGCCACCAAACTTTCCTGTCTCTGCTGGTCTGCAATTTCCCTTTGCCTATTTTTTGGCTCTGTGTTTGTGGGCTTTGGGGAGGATGGGGAGCAATAAGTCTGCATTTTGGGAGGATTTGAAGCTCCACATTTAAATTTGGGGCACCAAGGACCACAAAAAAGCTGAGTATGGCTGCCTGGCTGATTGCACTTCCCGATTCTGGCTTTAACGTAAGCACAGAGGAACTGATCTGAATTTAGACCCTAGTGGGGTAGGTTGGAAATCTTGATCTCCACTGTGATCCTGATCCAGACTTCTCCCCTTCCCACAAACATACTTTTATTGCCCACATGCATTCTAGTAAAGCAACTGGGAAACCTCCTTCCAATAGAAATTGAAGTTATGGGGACTCTGATGTGGATGAGGACCATTATGATGGTGCAGTGGTTAAATGCCTGTACTGCAGCTACTCACTCATAAACCACAAGGTTGCGAGTTCAATACCAGCCAGGGCTCAGGCTTGACTCAGGTCTGCATCCTTCCAAGGTCGCTAAAATGAGTACCCAACTGTTGGGGGGCAATGAGCTTACAGTTGTAAAATGCTTAGACACTGCATAGCGCAGTATGAAATGGTATATAAATGAAACTGCTTTGCTTTGCTTTGGTGGCAGGAGAAAAACTGTCAATTGCCCAATAAGCACAACAATCTAAACTGACACTCTTTTATTTCCTATCCCAGTGTGTCAATTTAGGTCCCACTGCTTGTACTAGACAGTAGAATTGTACCCTGGTGTAGGATGGGCAACTGTATCAGGGTCGGATCCAATTTGACCTATAGAGACTAGAGTTAAGGGGGGGGGG